TTTTTTTTCTTTTTCGTCTATCCCCCTGCAATGCGTTCATCCTTCCCCGATGTTGCTGTTGCTTCTGCCGCTGTTCTGTGTCTCTCCCTCTCTCTCGGTGTTTGTGTGTGTGTGTGTGTGTGTGGTTGGTGTGCCTCCTTCTGCAATGTGCCTCATTGTGTGTTTTTGTTTATTGTGTTTCGCTTCCCTCCGCGTGTGTGTGTGCGTGACAAGAGACGGGCGTGGGAGGTTGAGGCAACAAAGCGAGAGCGGCAAGTGTGACGGTGCTGGGCGAAGATATGAACGGCATGAAAAGCGCAAAATAAAGGGAGAGTATCGATGTACAGATTAAGACGAAGTCAAAAGAGTAAAGAAATGAAATGAAGACGAGCACACATTTGTTTTTTTTGTTTGTTTGTTTTCCGGGGCAGAGTAGTTGGGAGTGGGCTGTTCTTTTTGCAGCGCTTGTTGTCGGGCGCTTACCGCTGCTGTGGTGGGCCAAGCAAACGAAAAACAGTGAGGAAGGGGGCTGTGTGTGTGTCGTTCACCGTTCTCGCACAGTCAGATGCACATTCGTATAGGAAATATATATATATATATAGATACATATATGAATGTGTACGTGTGTCTTTCTACCCTTCTCGCCCCACTCTGTGTTCTTTTTACTCCACCCGCTCCTTTGGCCCTTTTTTACGTTCTCACTTTCTCATTCTCTATCTATCTATCTATCTATCTATCTATCTCGATATATATATATATATATATATATATATATCACCATGCGAGAAACGAGTCAGGCAAACAAACTGGCCCTTTTCCCTCTCATTCTCACTTTCAATCTGTCTCTCTGTGCGGAAGAGCGAGTTTGGGTATTTCTCTGTGTTTGTGCATTGGGGTTCGGTTGTCAAATTTTTCTTGTGGGTTCGTGTTTCTTCTTGTTCTCTCTGCTGTTGTTATTACTCTTGAGGGCAGTGGAATACTAAGAAGAAAAAGGGAGGGAAAATAGGAAAGAAGTCCGTGAATAGCTCTTCATCTATATATCTACGCATATAGAGCGAAGGAGAACGACGGGTTGCATCTTCGTCTTGTTTAGTCCCCCGTTTGGAAGTGACGGTTAATTGGCAGTCATGGCAGCGCTGCTCTCCGACGAGGAGCTGGCGACGATTACACTCAAGTCGTCCTTTGTGTATGAGTATGGTGATATGCCGTATTTTAGGAGGTGCCTGAATGAGTTCCCGCTGCAATTCTTCGCGCGTTATCGCGCCAACAAGGACGATCCCTCGCAGCACCGTTGGTCCCGCATTTTGGAGGTGGTCCACCGCCAGAGTGGCAGCAGCAATAACAATGGGGATGTAGCTGCCGCATCTGCAACGGCGGCGCCTCTCAAGTGGAAGGAGAAACAGTTCCTAATTGCGCTGCGCGTGGAGGGCGAGGATAAATGTGTTGAGCTCCCGCGTCTCTCCAGCAAGCTGCCAGCCGCAGAGGAGGTAATGGCGTACTGCGCACGCCGCGCAGAGCAGCAGCTACACACCGCTAACGGCAACGCTGAGGTGTTGGGCGCCGATGCACGGTCGCAGCTGCCCAGTGCGCAGGAAATACAAAAAATGAAGGTGTTCCGCCACGGCGTCATCGTGAACCACCAATGGACGCCGGAGGAAGTGGCGGCGGCTCGCGAGCAAAACGAGCGCATTGGCCGTGTGGGTGCCGGCAGCGCGCCAGTGCGCCTCACCGTGACGTCGCTACACAACATGCGACTTGAGACGGAGCTCGGTATCGCGTCGAGCCGGCACATGACGGGCCCCACAGCCATGGCGCTGGAGCGGCGTAGCGGCAGCGACCTCGCACTGCACAGCGGGCGTCGCGCAGAGTCCCCGGCA